ATAAATTAATTAATTCTTGAATGTCAGTAATCGAATTAATTAATGGACATTATATCTTAAACATGGGGAGATAAATCGAGTAATTATTATTGGAGTCTCAATTGTAAATTGAGATAGGAAAAGGGAGTGCAATAATATTATGTTGGTGACCCATTTAATATTATTTAATTATTTAAAATAAGTGGCTTGATCCACAAGTATTTTAATTAATTAAGCAGCCCTAATCCTAATCTTCTAAGGATCTCTACTGTAGCTCTATATATACATCATTAAGCTCATGGGAAGAGAAGAGAATTCCACATCTTGGAAATCATGCCCCACGCCTCTCTTCTCTCTCTCAGTTCCCATTCGAGCTTTATCTTCTTCTTGTTGTTCCACTGGTACAAGATTAAGAGGTGTTTGAGATATACAATAGAAGACCTTTGGGTAAAGTGAGACGAAATATATTTGGTCGTACACAATTAACCGGAGGTCCGATCAAGACGTACAACATACCCAAACTACCGTCTCGACGAGAGATTTCCAACGCCATCGAGATCGCCACCATCCGACGCCAGACACGCCCTCACGCGCCACCGGAAGCTCCCATGATTGCAACTTGTCTTCTTCCGTTTTTGCACCCATTTGATCCGATTTTCGATCCGATCTTGTTTGTGCAATCCTAGGATACGATTTGCAGTCAACAATTCATTGGTGTGCTGTGTACGGCCATCCAGAAGATCAGCCAGATCGCCATAAATTTTAAACTGTAAGTTCTATACGCAAACCTTTAGATCCGCTGCTCATAGGTTTATGTTTTGCTATTGAATTCGTGATTTGTGCATAACGAGATTTTCATTGATCCCAACATAGGGGAGGCAAGTAGGAGGCGAAAGACACTTAGTGGTGGAATGACGAGGTGCAAGGGGTTATTCAGGAGAAGAAGGAAGGTTTCAAGCGTCTCCACCTTGACAAGAGTGCAACCAACATTGAGAGCTATAAAATAGCGATGAGGGCTGCAAAGCGTGCTGTGAGTGTAGCGAAGGGTCAGGCCTATGATGACCTTTATCAGCGCCTAGGCACGAAGGAGGGGGAGAAGGACATTTATAGGATGGCTAGGATTCGGGGGAGGAAGACAAGGGACATCAACCAAATCAAATGCATCAAGGATGGGTCGGATCGGCCACTGGTGAAGGATGGGGAGATCAAGGACAGATGGCGAGAGTACTTCAACAAATTGTTTAATGGGGAGAGTGAAGGTCCTACCCTGGATTTGGATGACTCATTTGAGGATACCAATAGACGCTAGGTGAGGAGAATTCGAGAGGCAGAGATCGGAGAGGCTATGAAGAGGATGATGGGAGGCAAAGCAATGGGCCCTGATGGTATCCCCATTGAGGTGTGGAGATGCTTGGGCGCCAGAGCGTTAGTATGGCTAACTAAGCTTTTTAACCTTATTTTTCGGTCAAACAAGATGTCTGATGAATGGAGGAAAAGTACTTTAATACCAATCTTCAAGAACAAGGGAGATGTCAAAGCTGTGGTAACTACCGTGGGATTAAGTTGATAAGCCATACGATGAAGCTCTGGGAGAGGGTTATCGAGCATCGCCTACGAACCCAAAAAAAGTTTGGGTTTATGCCTGGAAGGTCGACCATGGAGGCGATTGTCCTAATACGACAGTTGATGGAGAGATATATAGACCAAAAGAAGGACTTGCACATGGTCTTTATCGACCTTGAGAAGGCCTATGACAGAGTACCGAGGAATGTCATGTGGTGGGCCTTAGAAAAGCACAAAGTTCCATCTAAGTACATTACCCTCATCAAAGATATGTACAAGGATGCGATGACGTGTGTCCGAACATGTGGGGGCGATACCAGCGACTTCTCAATTAACATAGGACTACACCAGGGTTCAACATTGAACCCTTATCTATTTGCCTTGGTGATGGATGAGGCCACAAGGGACATACAAGGTGATATCCCTTGGTGTATGCTCTTTGCTGATGATGTGGTTCTAGTTGACGAGAGTATGACAGGGGTAAATAGGAAGTTAGAGCTATGGAAGGACACGTTAGAGTCGAAAGGCTTCAGACTTAGTAGGACGAAGACCGAGTACATGACGTGCGCTTTCAGCATGGCTACACATGATGATGGTGACGTTAGCCTTGACGGGCAAGTGGTGGCCAAGAAGGAGACTTTTCGGTATTTATGATCGATGCTACAAAAGGATGGCGACATTGATGAAGATGTTAGGCATAGAATTGCAGCCGGTTGGTTGAAATGACGTCAAGCTTCGGACGTTCTCTGTGATAAGAGGGTGCCACAAAGGTGAAAAGGTAAGTTTTGTAGGACGACGATTCGTCCGGCGATGCTATACGGTGCTGAATGTTGGCCTACAAAAAGGCAACATGTCCAACAACTAAGTGTAGCAGAGATGCGTATGTTGCGTTGGTTTTGGGGGCACAAGAAGGGATAGAATCTGGAATGAGGATATTCGAGATAGGGTCGGGGTGGCTTCAATTGAAGAGAAATTGGTTCAACATCGGCTGAGGTGGTTCGGACATGTCCAACAGAGGCCTCCTGATGCACCGGTACGTAGGGGAGTTCTACAGCGGGTCAATGATGTAAAGAGAGGAAGAGGTCGGACTGAACTCACTTGGGAAGAGTCGGTTAAGAGAGACCTTAATGATTGGAATATCTCCAAGGATTTAGCGGTGGATAGGAACGCTTGGAGGCTAGCAATCAACGTGCCAGAACCGTAACTTTTGCTCTTTTCTCTTTTGCTTCAATCACTTCCTTTTATTTTGAGCCCTTTTTGTATTTTCCTTACCATTGGTTCTCTTGGGTTCCATCTCTAGCCTACCGCAACTTGTTTGGGACTAAAAGACTATCTTGTTGTTATTGTTGTTGATGTGTGGAATAATAAATTGATAGTATTTAAATAAATTAATAATATTTTGGAGAGTTTTTTTATATTAATTTTGAGTTAGACAATCACCCTGTGAATTTTAAACCCGAACCAATGTCGTCAAAATAACTAATCTTTGTTGAGTCATCACAAAATTATTAAACCCAAACAACTGTTAAATAGAGCCAATCTTTTCAAAATTATAGCCGTGTTTTCAAGTGACAACAACTTTGTGTTAGGAGAAAGAGGGTTAGTTCACTTGAAAGAGTCCATGTTCCCGTTAAATCATACATAAAGAATCGGTCATTGGGGCTCACGTAATTAGGATAAATTTATAAAATAATTACAAAGAACATAACCTGTTATCCATCTTACCGACTAAATTAACCCAAAAAAAAAAAAAAAAAAAACGAATAATTGCATTTCCATGCGTGTGGATTTGGTTTGCAAATTAATAAAAGTTTTCCCTTACGTGCGTTCGAGTTGAAAAAAATGCAAACAACACATTTCTACAGAGTATCCTCATCTTAATTTTCATGTTTGCTGGTCGGTTTTGACCATAATAATATTTTCTTTTTGGTAGCCATCCGGGTATATGGAGCTTTGTCTCGATGAATTCGTTGGTCGACCCGAATCGTACACCTGACAGTGTTGGTTGAGTCTTCCAACAAGGATTTTCTGCATTCACAACAACGACTCGAACCCGAAATCTGAAATCTTACTTCAAGTTACTTACCACTTGAGCCAATCCCGACTGGTATAATAATATATTTTCAAACATATGGCCAGATTTTCTAAATGAAAATAAAAGGTCAAAACTCGAACTGGATACCTGGACAATTATATTACAAGATTAAGACAACAATATTCTGAAATCATTAAATAATTGCCTAAACAAAAAAGTAAGTGAAAAAAGAATAATTAAAAGTATTTTAATTTTCGGACTTCATGTTTTCAGACACCATAGGGCCGGCCATCTTCAAACTGCTCCTCCTCAAACCTTCTTTAATAAAAAAAAAATAAAAAATAATAAAAAAAATAAAAAAAAGTTAAAAAATCACTACAAATTCCTCAAAACACACACACACACACACACAAATTGGAAAAGTCCCCATTAATCTCAGTTTATGAATAAAAAATCTCTTCCTTTTTTCCCTCCATTCTTGCTTTCCCTTCTTCTGTTCATCAATCAACT